AAAAAAACATACTTTAGTGCACTGAGCACTGAACAACTCTCTACATAGGTGTCTCATGTGTAGAAGCTCAAAACAAACCCAAAGCCACAACCATTGACTCCCTCCAAAAATGCTCCTGGTCCTGTTTGTCCTAAGCTTTTTAACATCCTCCCACTCACTCAGACCCTGAGACAGAAATGTACTCCCGCTTCTCTGGTAGCATAGTGCCTAAGGCATTTGACTGCTAACCAGAAGGCTAAGCGGTTCAAGCCCACCAGCCACTCCTCAGAAGGAAGGTTGAGCAATCTACTTCCGTAGTGATACCACCTCGGAAACCCATGGAGGGGTCACTGTGAGTCGGGTTCAACTCCACAGCAGTGGTTGAGGTTCACCACATCCCACACCCTTTTCAAAACAAAGACTGCTGACAGGGCATCTCCCTAGGTGCTGAATGAAGGGTGAATCTGAGCTTCTCTTACTTTTCTGTACTGGATATGCATTTGTTACTCTAAAAAGCAAAAACTCTTTTTTTAAAAAAAGACTCAATTTAAATACGTCATGTGTAAGGACCCCCCAGACAAGGTTGATCTCTCCCTCCTTTCTAGGTATTCATTGCATTCATTGCATCCTGTTGCAAATGTTCTTTAACTCGACAGAGTGAAACTGGGGAGAGGGGCCGCTGTTTTACTCATTTTGGTCTTTCCAGTATTTGCCCCAGTGCCTGTCACTTGTAGATAAAGAAATATTTGTTAGATGGAATTAATAACATTCTGATCTATTTAACCTTGGTCCATGCAAAGGCTACAGTGGACTTTCTAGTCCATAAATTAGCCATCCCTTCTACAACCTCACAGTCTAGCATGCTGAACCTATCATTCCCTCAGGACAGTGCCTGCTATGCACCAGGCTGGGTCCCCAGGACACAGAGGTAGAGCAGATGTGTCATCTTGGAGGTTCTTGAATTAGTACAAGGGTGATCAAAGTCTTCCCTGGGGACCTGGGGGCCAGGGGCTGCAGTACAAAGCAGGTTCCTCTTATCTCCCATTGTGTGGCCCACAGGGTTCAGAAGCTGGCAACGAGCTCGACGAGAGAGCAGGAGCACTGGACCCGGCTTCAGAGGTACTCCTCGATCCTTCAGAGAGAGAACTTTATGAAATGAAGTGGGCACCATGTTGGAGCCCTCTGGGAAGACTTCTGCCACCAGGCAGCAGTTTCCCAGGACACCCTGAGTCAAAGGCACATGGAGACAAAACACAGTGACAAAGCTAAACTTCTCAGGCCCAAGAGACATGGACTTGCAGTCAGAGACCTTTGCAAAGCAGCGGGGGGTGGGGGGCAGGGGGAGGTATTATTTGAGGGGCCTTCAACCACTAAGCCTCTTGTCAGAGCCCTCAGGTGGGCAGGATGTGATTCCCAAATAAAAAGTAGTATTTTCTGAAACCAAAGTTTCTGTGGTTTGTAATTCATTGTTCCCACTCAATCCAGACCCCAGTATGGCCCAGCTAATGAGTGCAACCAGAGTCCCAGGCTTTCTGAGGCCCACTCAGAAGAGCCACTTTCGTCAAATGAGCAAGACACCCAATACACCACAGCTGCTATGTGGCCCTGTTTTCTCTCCATCTGCTTTATGCCCTTCCCTATGTTGGTCCATACCTTTACAGATTCATTTTTGAAGAGTGCAAGGCTCAAAGGGCTTGAGTGACTGCCTGAGGTGTGAAAGATAGGGCCAGATGACACAGGAACGATGCTGTTCTGCCCCCTGCCTGCTGGCCTCGAAACCCTAGAGGAGGCGGGGGGGACATATGGGGCAGAGGGCTACCTCCCTCTTCTCTAGAAACTGGCTTTCCTGAGCATTCCTGAAAAACCTGGATGGAGGAGTCTCCAGCAGCTCAAGGCACATATCTGCCTCTCTGAGGACACCATGTGATCCCTTTGAGAACTGCAGATGGCTGGCTGCATCCCAGACTCACCCTACCTAGGTAGACCCAACCCAGAAGGCCAACTACAGGCAGAGTTTGGGCCAGCTTCTGCTTTTGTGCCCCACCCACCTCCATCCCTGGTCCACACACCACGTCACCTCCCTCATGGCATCAACACTGGCACTGACTGGCTGAATGTCTCCTGAAGGGAGGGGCCCCACCTGAGACACTCTGCCCTCTCTCCTCCCCACCATGGGAATGAAGACAGTGGCAGAACAAAAAAAAAATTTAGAAAAATGGTCCTTAAACACCTTTAAGCCTAGAACTGAACTCACTCCCGTGGATGAACTTTCATCCAAACAATAGACCAATAAAGTGAACACCACCACCAGGGATCAAAAGGGCAGCATTTGCCCAGGAATCAAGCTCAGAAGGCAGGAAGGGATAGGAAAGAAGAACGAATGGAAACAGGAAATACGGGGAGGAAGTGGAGAGTGCTGTTGCATTGTAGGAATTGCAGTCAGTATCACAAAACAAAAATGTGTAGGAATTGTTGAGTGAAAAACCAATTTGCTCTGTAAACTTTCACCCAAATCACAATAAAAAGTAAAAAGAAAAAAAATTCCTTTCTTCTGGTTCAGACTAGACTCTGTACAGTAGGTACTGTGGCAGCTCTATTTTGAGATGAGGGAGGAAAATTCAGAAAGATGGTGTTGGCCATAAACATCACCTGAAGGTGGAGAATTAACATTTATGGAATATCTACAGGGGTTGTGTGTTTTACATTTAAGCATTAAGTAGCCTTGTGAAGCGTAGGTATTATTATCATCCCCATTTTACAGATAAGGGGTTACGCAGCTTAGAGCAGCCTTTATCAAGTGCATCTGGACTTAGTTGCAAGTGTCAGAAACCCAACTTTAGCTTTAGCAAAAGGGGAATTTCTTGACTCATATAACTTAGCTGTCCTGAAGTAATGCTTTTGGTGTAGCCAGACACAGTGTTGAAATAGCATCAGGAATCCTCCTCCATCTCTTGCCTCTGAGTCTCTTTTAGGTGGCTCTTCTATTTGGGTGGCACAGTGACACCAGCAGTAGCTAGAGTGAGCTTGCCTTTCTCAATGTTCCACCCAGCATCCTGAGCCTGCTTCTCACTGGCCTGAATGTGGTCATGGTCCTGAAGGACTATGTGTTGATGGTCCAGGCCTACAGCATGCACTCAGATTGGAAGGTCATGCCGCTGAAACTTAGGGGCTGACAGTGGGGGAGAGTTGTCTGAGGAAAGGAAATCTGTGCCATGAGAAAAAAAAGTAGAAGGAACACTTGAGCGGGCAAAACAATGGCGGTGCCCTGCTCACTGGCAGTGGATGAAGAATTAGCTCTACTGTCCACAGCCACATGCTGCCAACACCAGGCTACCTCCTCGTTTGCTAGTGACTTCTGCAATTTCAGGTAGGTGGCCCCTCTCTCTGTCCCATGGCATCCACTGAACAATCACATCACAGCCTTCTCACGCACTAGGGTGCCTGCTTGGTGACTTGTTTGCCTTTCCAACTGAACTGTGAGCTCCCTGAGGGCAGGGGCTTTGTCTTTCACATCTGTATACTCCAAAGATAGTCCAGTGCCTGGTACATAGTTGGCCTTCAGAAAATATGTTTAGAAGGGGAAAATGAAGAAATTCACAGAAGAGGATAAGAGGCACTGGGAACCTACCATGCCAGGTAAGGTTGGGACCGGGGCCACCGCACAGATAGTTTCATTCGGGTACTTGACAGGCCTACAGAAAACAAGCAGACACCCAGACATTCTGCTACTGGAAGAGTTTTAAAGCTTTGCTATTCCCTCCTGGGCAGGTGTCCTGGAGAAGCTCTTGCACATGAGCACCAGGAGATAGGCAGAAGACCGTTCATAGCAGCAAAAAGCTGGGAATAATCCATGGGAGGAGAATGCTGCAATAATTGTAGCATGTTTACAATGGGATGAAATACAAGAATTGGAGCTACGTGTACAACTCTCATAACCTTTGCTATGAAGCAAGTTACAGGATAAATAGCATCAAGATACAAGTTAGAGAATATAGAGAATATGACTCCATTTGTAAGTTCCTTAACTATGCAAAGCTAAACAACTTATTGTTTGGATACAGCCATATGTGTGTGGTTAACCATTAAAGGAAACCAAAAAGAATGATGAATTTAGGAAAATGATGTGGTAGATTAAAAAAAATATGGCCATCGCATTTGGCACTCCTCCTATTAAAGGTGGGAGCTCTGGTGGCATAGTGCCTAAGGCATTTGGCTACTAATCAGAAAGCTGGTAGTTCAAACCCATCAGCCACTCCTCAGAAGTAATACTGGGCACTCTCTTCCGTAATGATACTGCCTCGGAAGCCCAAGGAGGGGTCACTATGGGTCGGATTAGACTTGACAACAATGAGTGATGAGTTCCTATTAAAAGCGGAGTCTGTTTCTCCGCTGCATGGATGTAGACTTGGTCACGTAACTAGATTTGCCCAGTGAGATGTTAGCAAACATCACACAAGCAGAGGGGGGCATTGGTGGTTCACTGGTAGAATTCTCACCTTCCATTCAGGAGACCTGGGTTTGATTCCTGGCCAGTGCATCTCATCCCCAGCTACCGCCCATCTGTCAGCGGAGGCTTGTGTGCTGCTATGATGCTGACCAGGTTTCAGTGCAGCTTCCAGACTAAGACAAACTAGGAAGAAAGGCCCAGTGATCTACTTCTGGATCAAAACAGTGCAACCTGCAACCAATCACAGAGATGGCACAGGACTGGGCAGTGTTTTGTTTTGTTGTCCACAGGGTCACTAAGAGTTGGGGCCAACTTCACAGCAGCTAACAAGAACAATAGCACCAGCAGAGGCTTGAAAAGCATTTGTGTATTGGGTCTGTTGTCTCTTATTGATTACCATGTGATGAAGCTTGAGCCAGCTTGCTGGAGGGGCCATGAGGAACCAAGGTGTCCTGGCCCACAGCCTGCCAACTGCCAAGCATGGGAGTGAGACCATCCTGAGCAGGCATCTGTGAGAGCCTAGATGAGACCAACAGAAGAGCTGCCCAACTGAGCCCAGCCCAAACTTCTGACTATAGAATCAAGGGCTAAATAATGATTGTTGTTATAAGCCACTAAGTTTTGGGGTGGGTGGTTTGTTATATGGCGGTATATTCTTAATAAGTTGGTTATGTTTTGGGGGAGGAAAGAGAAGGATGTACTCAAAGAGAAGCCTGCAGGGAACCTTAATGGAATTGGAAGTGGCCTAGTTCTTAAGCCTGGTGGCGGGTATAGGGGTGTTTAGCTCATTATTCATTACACCTTATATATACATTGCATAGATTTATTTGCATGCATAAAATATCTCACGATTTAAAAAAAGAGAGAGACCCTTATGGAACCTGATGAAAGACTAGACCATTTTTGCAGAAGTAATCCTCTTTATAATAATTTGGGATATGAAAAATATTTTGTGCCATCATACAATTTTTGTTAAAATTATATAAAAAAAGTCATTGGTGAGCTTGAGAAGCTCATGGGGACAGTGATGACTCTAGGGGAAGTGGACCCTAGTTGGAGAGGCTGTCGATCTTACACTATTAGATGGCATCGTGCCTGGTGGATCTTTGCTCCCTCCTGCCCTCAAGCCACTGACCTCTCAACAAGTGCACTGATGGTGGGTCCTTGGGTCCCCTTGGCTGTCACCAGCTGGAGGGAGGCATCTGTGCATAGCACCACACATTTAATTCTGGATTTCACTGGGACCCCAGGATGTACGTTCTGTCTTTTGTAGACGAAGTGGTAGTCTAGGAAGTAAATGCTTTGGCAGAAACATCCCTCAGGAAGAGCAACGACCCCAAGAGGGAATCCTGAGAAAAAAAATCACACAAGCAGGTCAGAAAGATGAGGAAAGGAGGGAGTTGGCACATTTATGTTCTTGTTGTTAGGTGCGGTAGAGTCAGCTCCAACTCATAGCGACCCTATGTACGACAGAACAAAACACTGCCTGGTCCTGCGCCATCCACACAATCCTTGAATCTTCATAAAGAGCCTTATTTACCGAGTCCTATGAGAAGGAAACAGGAAAGGAACAAGAGCAGAGTGTTGGATGACATGCTGAAGAAGTCAGAGCAGCAATGGGCTGGGGATCCCTAGCTGGGTGGGCTGCCAAGATTCTAGCCACCCTCAGGGCTGGCACACTGTCAGAGGCTGAGCAGGTCATGGCAGTGAGTGGCCGCACATGGGGCCCTCACTCACTGGGTAACAGAGCCTCTTGGAAACACGAGGAGCCCTGTGTCTTCTCAGGAGCAGTGGCAGGGGAGTGACTAGGGTGAGGCAAGCGAGGCACTCAGGATGTGGAATTTAAGGAGACAGCATTCTCAGGGATACGCAGTGCAGGCCCAGCACCTGAGGCAGGGGTAGGTGGGGCACAAAGTGCTCTCTGCCTCCCCGAGTCAACGGGGACTTTGGGATTAGACAGGGCTAGCCCACCTTCCCTACGCCACCCTGGACTATAGTAGACAATATCTTGCTGTCATCCGTAAGGTGTCCATTGACTCACTTTGGAAGTCAATCACCAGGCCTTTCTTCCTTATCTTAGTCAGAAAGTTCCCCTGAAACGTGTCCCTATGGGTGACCCTGATAGCATTTGAAATACTAGTAGCATAGCTTCCAGCATCACAACACACTAGCCACCATGGCACAACAAAGTAACAGACAAGTGATGGAAGGTGCATTAGAGGTTTTTTACACCCCTCCCCAACACACACACTTGCCTGCTAGGTGTATTCCGAAGACCAGACTTGTCGACCATCCCAACAAGTTACTCCTCACAATAGCCACTTACTAGTTTTGTGACAATTTTCTGTAACATAAGCACACACCTAGCCACCTGGCTGGTGGTGCTGAGGCTAAAATGACTTAAAATCAGACAGTGAATGTTAATCCCAGAGCACAGAGTCTGGCACATGTTTGCTGCTCCATTGGTGTTTAGTTTGCCTCCACTGGCCAGATCACACTGGGAAAGCAGCGCTACAGATAAGTGAGGCAGGATTGTTGTCTGGCAGTGACAGAATGGGCAGAATTACAGGCCAGCCCTGGCTGGGCTCCTTGATGCCATCACTCTCCCTTCCGCCTTCCAGCAGGTGAGCCCAAACCCCTCCAGGTCAGGGCATCCAGCCAGGGACCAGGTGAGGTGGGGCGCCACCTGGCAACCTCTGTTCTTGAGACGCGCTCCTCGTGTTCAGCTTTAGCAAAGGCATGTGATTGGCACACAGGCTCTACAATTAGATGTGGGTTTGAATCCCACTTGTCCACTTAACATCTGTATGGGCACGTGATGTAGTCTCTTCCTAATTAACATTCCCATCCTTAAAATGGCCCCATTAACTGTGGTTTCCTCGCAGATTACCTGAGAACTGAGAGAAGAGAGCATATACCAAGGGCTCCCCTACGCCTCGCACGCAGTCCTCCTGGACGCTGGTTATTGTCGTCATTGCTGTGAATGAGCACACAGGGTTTTTCCACGTGTGCGATGGCACTGGCCTAGGAAGGGGTAGTAGTAAGGACGCGGGAGCGGTGGGAGGTGGTCCCTTCCTATCTTCGATCCTTGTCTAGGCTACTATTAGCAGGGGCGTGTTAATGAAAATTCACACCCAGGTGCTAATAAACAATGGGCTGCTCCCGGGTTGGGAGCAGGAGGGGAGGCCCTCCACAGGGAAGGGCGCTGGCCAATGAGCCCCACTTACCTGTGAAAAGACTTGCTAATAACTTTAATTCCCCATCCTAAAACGCAGAGCCTTTGCCATGCAAATAGATTTTTCTAAACTAGGAAGGCACCGGAGCAGACTTCCTGCTCTACCTCAGTTAGGGTCCTGGGAGGGAGAGCAAGATTTGGGGTGGAGGTGCAGGAAAGGGGGACGAGGAGCGAAGGTGTGAGGTCCAGCCCCCCTGCAGGGGCTCGGCTTTTGAATCCGACTCTCTGCGGCCAAATGCTAGCCAGGGTGCATCCTAATCTCCAGAGTGGTTGTCCCCACCCTACTCTGAATTACTGCAGCCTCCAGGGAGCACTGGAGACATTTCTGAGGTCGTTTTAAAACAGATCCATGCTACAGAGTTTGTGTTTGAGGTAATGAAAAAGTTTTAGAAGTAGGTAGTGATGAAGGTTGCGTGACACTGTGAACATTATTGCTGTTGTTAGTTGCCATCCAGTGCCACTGGCTCATGGGAGACCTTATGTCAAACCCGAGTCAAACCCGACTCATAGCGACCCCTCCTTGGGTTTCCGAGGCAGTATCACTACGGAAGTAGGATTGCCCAACCTTCCTTCCGAGGAGTGGCTGGTGGGTTTGAACCGCCAGCCGTCTGATTAGCAGGCAAGTGTCTTAGCCACTATGCTACCAGAACTCCCTCAGATGTAATTAGTGCCTTTGAATTGTACACTTACAAATGGCTGAGGTGGCGAATTTTATTTTACCACAATAAATTAAAAAAAAAAAAAAAAACTGTCAACATCAAAGGATGGATAAACAAAATATGATAAATCCATACAATGAAATATTATTTGACAATAAAAAGTAAAGAAGTACTGATGCATCCTACAACATGAATGAACCCTGAAAACCTCATGTTGAGTGAAAGAAACCAGTCATAAAAAGCCACTTATTGTTTGATTGTATGTATGTGAAATGTCCAGAACAAGCAAATCTTGAGAAACTGAAAGCAGATTCGTGGTTGCCAAGAGCTAGGGAAAGGGCAGAATGGGGAATGATTGCTAATGTATCTAAGGTTTCTTTTTGGGGGTGACAGAAATGTTCTAAAATTAAATAGTGATGGTTGCACAGTCTTATAAATATACTGCAACTATTGAATTATACACATTAAAATGAATTTTATGACACGTGAACTATATCAAAATAAACCAACAAACCAAACCCACTGTCACAAGTGGATTCCACCTCATGGTGATTCCCGTTGGGTTTCCAAGGCTATAAATCTTTACAGAAGTGGATTGCCTCATTTTCTTCCCACTGGGTAGCTGATGAGTTTGAACCCCCAACCTTCTGGTTAGCAGCCAAATGCCTGATCCACTGTGCCACCAGAGCTCCTTGTATTTTTATAAAGCTTTTATTAAAACAAACCAATAAGGCCTGTATTTCAACGACACTTAAGGGGGAGGAGAGAAGAACTGAGCATCCATAGAGGGTGCCCCCTCACACCCCGTAAGCTTAATCAGGCCCCCTGGCTGAGACCAGACTCTTACTGGGCCCAAGGCCTCCCTATCCCCACAAGGTGTTTTCCTGGTCTGAATCCAACCAATCTAGACAGGAGGGTGGCAGTTTGGCTTAGTTCCAGGGCAGCTGTGTGGATCTGGATGCAACTGGACCCAAGCAAGGTTTCTAGGTCGTGGCAAGTTCTCATGGGCCCCTCACTCCACCCTCACAGGGTGTAGCGGTTACATGAACTCAGGACTGGCCAACTGATGTTTTTTACATTTGACTGTTAACCAGAAGGCTGGCGGTTCAAACCCACCAGCCACTCCTCGGACGAAAAAGTGGGAAATCTATTTCTGAAGAGAAACTGCCTCGGAAACCCAAGGCAGAGTCGCTATGAGTCAGGACCGACTCCACGACAGTGAGTGAGAAGCAACATGAGGGAAACCATAGAGAAGGGAGATGGGAAAATCCCAGGCTTTTGGCCAAGATGTGCCAGTGCAAAGTGAATAGGACTCAGGACACAATGTCATGATTCCTTGGAGCTGGTGCCCCCTCATGCCCAGAATAAATTCCATAAACTAGTTGCTGTCAATTTCCACTCATAGTGATCCAAAGTAGAACTGCCCAATAGAATTTCTGTAGGGTTTCCAAGCTGTAATCTTTATGGAAGCACACTGCCACATCTTTCTCCCAATAAACAACTGGTGGATTTAACCATTGTATTAGCAGCTGAGCACTTAACCACTGTGCCACCAGGGCTCATATCCCAAACGTACAGAGGTGACAAATTTCCTACCAGAGCTGAGAGCTCAGATCTGGAGTTATATTGGGAGTGAGCACTGTTTAGTTTCTTTTGTAAAATGGTTATTTGGGTTTGTGTAAAGTATTGGACTCTGACTTATGGTGACCCCTAGTGTGTCAGAGTAGAACTATGCTCCGTATGGTTTTCAGTGCCTGATTCTTCAGGCGATTACCAGGCCTTTCTTCTGAGGTGCCTCTGGGTAGCCCCAACCTCCAACCTTTTGATCAGCAGCAAGTGCATGAACCATTTGCATTAACTTGGGGACTCTCTGTACAGAGAGTTTTGGTTTTACCCCTCACCCCACCAGGTTCAAAGAAAAGATACACAGACAGCCTCTAGTCGCTGCAACTTTTTTATATGAAGCCCCCACCCCACCACGCTGACCCATTTGGAAAAGGCAATGGTGAAACAGGGCTGGAAGCAGGGAGGAAAGGGTCTGGGCCTGTGTTTTGAAGGGCTGAGGATTGCAAGAAACTCCCCCAAGTCTTTGTTCTTCTCTGGAGAGGAGGGAGGGAGCTCTGCCTCCAGGTAGAGAAAAAAGGAGTTGCCAAATGACTCAACAAAAACAGTTTATTCACAAATAAATAGAAACACCCTAGGCAAGGCCTTCTGCCTTCCTTAAAGGCACCTACCCTGCGGATCCCTCTTAGTTGGGGCTGTCCTGCTGTCCCCCTGACCCCCAAGAATACCCATGCCAGTAGTTAGTGTCCTCTTTCAGGAAAGGGAGGCGGAGAAGGGCTGCTTCGAAGGTGCTAGGGCCAAAACAGCTTCAGGGCTCAAACACAGGGCGCCAGTTCGTTGTCACTTAAGCTTCTTAGGCTGGCGGCCACTCCAGGGGCGACAGGGGCATCCAGGTCTCCAGTAGGGCCAGCACGTCGCCAGGGAAGAGCTGCAGGAGAGAGGAGAAAGAGGGAAGAGTGTGGCCTCAAGGACTATCCGCCGCTCGTGGGTGTCCCCGCTCCTAGAGGACCTTTGTCGCGGAACAGGAAGGACCCTGTCCCCTGCGTGCCCCCTCCTTTCACCACTCCGGCACCTTTGACACACTGTTGCTCAAAACACAGCAGGCGACGCAGCCGGGGTGGAGGGGGGGATGTTGCAGCAGATGACCGGGTCTTGCAGTGAGGCTATGCTCGCGGGGCGCGTGGGTAGTAGATGGCGTCACGACGGCGCCAGGGAAGAAGTTCAGTGCGGGGAAGGAGGTACGATGGCGCCAGGGAAGAAGTTCAGTGCGGGGAAGGAGGTACTGACCGGAGACGAGGTGCTTGGTTCCATCGCCTGTCCTTCTGGGCACACGGGCTCGGCATAGAGCAGTGACAGGTCGCGTGGCTCGGCTCCCGCCAGGGCTCGGAAACAGGCAGGTGGGGAGCCCCAGGAGGCGGAGGCGGAGGCGGCGACGCCGGCGCCAGCAGACGAGCCCAGGCCCTGCGTCTGCGCCGGCGCCGGGCCGCCTTCGGAGCAGAGCTGGTAGCCCCGAGGGGGAGCCGGGACGCTTAGTCGCTGGCGACGGCGCTGCAGGCTTTCCTCGCTGAGGCCCAGCACGGCCGACAGCTGGCCAATGTAGCGGATAGCCAGGCGCAACGTCTCGATCTTTGTCAGGCTCTGGCCAGCCGGCGCCAAGGACGGCGGCAGAAAGCGTCGCAGCTCGTGTAGGGCACGGGCGAGCGTGCGCATGCGCAGCTTCTCGCGCTCGCTGGCGCTTTGCCGCTGCCCGCTGCCCAGGCGACTGCAGCGGGCGCCGCGCCTCCCTGCTGTTGGGGCGCGAGGGCCCGGCCGTGTGCCGGGCCCGGTGGGATTCGACAGAGGGCTGCAGGCTGGGGCGCTGGCCGTCCTTACCACGTGGGAGCCCACAGTGTGGGAGCCAGAGACAGGCTGCAGGCTGGGGCGCTGCCCCAAGAGTCCGGGGACGAGGCAGGGGAGCAGCCGCAGTCCCTGTCGGAGGGAGGCGGCAGAGCTGGGCCCCAGCCCTCGGAGAGCATCCAGGACTCGGAAAACGGCGGGCACAACGACTGGGCCATGGCCGTGGCGGAGCGTCTCGAGACAGGCGACCGGCGGCCGCTTTATTCAGAGCCAGAGGTGTGAAGTGGCTCCTTCCAGGCTGCATCAGCACATCAAAGCGGGCTCAGGGACTGGAGGGGGTGGGGCCTGACCCTTTGAACTAGGCGGGGTCGGGGGCGCGAAGGTGCCGGCCCGTTGGCTACGTCTGGTTCGCGCCACCTGGGCCCTCACTTGAGTCGCGACCCAGTTACTGGGACCCCCTGCCTGTGCCCAATGGCAGGCAGTGCCCTAGGTGTTGGGCCCGCTCAGCAGGTTAAAGGAAGCGGGGTTGGAGAACTGAAAGTCCAGTTGTTTTGGAGGCTGTCTTCACCTGTTGAAGAAGACCTTATAAACCAAAACCAAACCAAACCAAACTCACTGCCATCGAGTTGATTCCAACTGATAGAGACCTACTTTGGGTTTTCAAGGCGGTAAATCTTCCTTTCGCGGAGTGACTGGTGGGTTTGAACCGCTAACTTCTGGTTAGCAGTCAAATGCCTTAGGCACTACTTTCCTATTTGTATAATTTATATTGGAGTTCCGTAGCATAGTGCTTAGGGCATTTGATTGTTAACCAGAAGGCTGGCCATTTGCCGTTCAAACCCACCAGCAACTCCTCCGAAGGAAGAATGCGCAATCTACTTCCGTAGAGATACTGGCCTTGGAAACCTAAGGAGAGGTCACTATGAGTCGAATCCTCGGCAATGAGTTTGGTTTTTGGTTGGTTTTATTTCTATAATGGGAGCCTCACGGCATGCGACAGCCTGGACTGTAGAATAGGGTAGAGACCCTGAGAGGGGCCCTGATTCCCAGTTGGAAGGAAGAGGTTCAGGGACAGTAACCCGGTCCTAACCTGAGGTAGGTTGGTCACAGATGGGCCTGTCACTGGTGTTTTAGAATGAGTGCATAGATAGTGGAGGACACCATGAAGAAGCCATCCCCGGGAAATCCAACAGGCTGACTGGTCAGGTTGCTGGATCATCTGAGCAGAGGGAAAGGTGAGTGTTCTCTCTGGGACACCCTCAGTCTGATAGGATTAGAGGCTCTCCCTGTTGCCACAGCTGCCACCATGGGCCTTTAGCTTCTTGACAGATACAACTGGGCTTTGACAAGGAGTGGAAATGATGCAGAAAAAAAGCATTTGATGAAATCCGGCATCCATTCATGATAAAAATTCTCAGCAATCTAAGAATAAAGTGGAACTTCCTTCACTTGAAAAGAAGCATCTGCAAAGAATCTATAGCTAACATCATATTTAACAGTGAAAGACTGAAAGTTTGCCCTCTAATATTGGAAACAATGCAAGAATGTTTGCTCTCACCACACCTGTTCACCATTATACTGGAGGTCCTGTTGTTGTTGTTGTTGTGTGCCGTCGGCCCTGACTCACAGCGACCCCTCCTTGGGTTTCCGAGGCAGTATCACTACGGAAGTAGGATTGCCCAACCTTCCTTCCGAGGAGTGGCTGGTGGGTTTGAACCGCCAGCCTTCTGGTTAGCAGTCAAGTGTTTTAGCCACTATGCTACCAGAGCTCCTACTGGAGGTCCTAGCCAATGCAATAAGGAAAGAAAAAGAAATGAGATGGAAAAATAACACTGTAAAAAGAAAACAGCATGACTTGAAATCTCAAAGAATCTAAGTTTGGACCCTTGTGATAATAGCTGCTTCATGCATGGAAGTCTTCTGTCCAGCTGGACTGTGAAATTCCTAGTGGCTGGGATCAAGTCTTTGACTGTTTCTTCTTTTAAGAGGAGTGGTATGTACGGTCTCTTCAGTGCCAGGGGTCTGAAGTTTTGCATCTCCCATGACATCCAGCCCTTTGAGACTGATGGGCTAACTGGCTGGTAGCCATGAAAACCATCTCCCTAGGCATCTATGCCTACCTCCACCACTATGCACCACTCTCTTGTGTCCTTTACCTTCTAGTGCTCTTGGCCTCCTCTAACATGGTTCATACCCCTTCCTCTGCAGTCTGTTCCAGCAGCCCCAGAATGCTCATGCCCATGGTCACATACAGAACATGCAGTGTGAATCCACTCCCAAGTGGGGAGAAGGGAAGCAGTCCATTCTCTGGACACAGGCCCTCAAACCCATCTACTCCCAAGAAGAAGGTGGCCTGGGAGTCCCTCCTCAGCCTGTGTCCATCAGAGACTCTGCTCCTTCTGGTCCATGGTGTGTCAGAACTTTCCTGAGGCTCCAGATTTCAAGCTGAGAACCCAGGTTATTGGACCCCTGGACCTGAGGGAACAAGTTAGGGTATTTTTTTCTCAGGGGACAAGAAGGAGCACAAGAGAAAAAGCTGAACAGGCAGGAGGGGTGGGGTCTCAGGGATCTCGGGACACTCTGTTGTCCAGTGACTGCCAACCTTCTGAACGTCAAAAATACCCCCAATTCCCACAAGAGCCCGAGTTTCACTTTGTAATGAAGAGAACTCAGAATGACCAAAACCCCCTTTTATTTTATTGCTATATTTTTAATGATTTGAAAACGTAATATATAGACATGGTTAAAAGTCAACAAAAAGTATAGCAGGCATAACGAATCTCTTTACCATCCTGTTTGAAGCTCCAAGAAGAAACCACTGTTACTGGTTACTTTGCCAATGGTTTGAAATTAATTTTTATTTAAGTACAAAGTCAACTGTACACATCTGGAAAATAGACCATATGTGAGAGAGAGAATGGCTTATCCTGGAAACACAGCCCTGGACCCCTAACGTTTCTCGTATCTGGGACTTAGTAGTTAATATTAATTGTGTATGTACACGGTTTCTCTCATTTAATCTTCACAGTGACCACAGGGTTATAGTTGAACATACAATGATTTTCTCCATTTTACAGAAAAACTGAGACAAACAACATGAAGAAACTTGCCCAAGGTCACATCTGCACTCATGTAGGTCTCCAGGGGGATTCAGAGCCTGAACTCTAACTACAGTCCCACGTTGGTCCTTGAACTCCAGACTGAGATCCACTTTTGAGAGGCAGGAGAGGGACACCATGAGAGGTGCATTATGGGAATAACTCCGGTGTCAGTGTTGAGGAATGGTTAAAGGGAACAGGGGTGAGTGTGGAGGTAGAGACCCAATGAAGAGGACATGAGAAAGACTAGCAGTAGGGGAGACAGGCAGGTCACATGGTGTGGTTTCACCCTCAACTCTGGGGTTTTCAGCCCTAAACCAAAAACTTGTGAGTCGATTTTTACTCATAATGACCCTATAGAGTAGAACTACTCCATAGGGCTTCCAAAGTTGTAAATGTTTACAGAAGCAAACAGCCACATCTTACTGCCTCAGAGCACTAGTGGGTTTGACCACTGACCCTTCCGCTAGCAGCCAGGCACTTAACTACTGTGTCACTTGGGCTCCTTTTTTCAGCCCTAAAGGCTGGCAAATTGAAGGTCACAGTAGGCATCCCTTTCCTTTTACTATAGGAGTCTCTGGGAAATTAAGTCAGGGGCCCAGTTTGCAATGGGTGTGGTCAGTGGGCCTGATGGAGTCAAGTGGGGGGATAGGAAGGAATCCCCCCAATCAGCTAGCCTCCCTTTTCCCTTTCTCCAAGCCTACCTCTCTCATCTTTGATCTCCTTATCACCACCCTCTCTGGAGGGTTCATTTGGGAGCTGCCGGAGTTAATGAGTTCTCCAGCCACAGACCCTGCACACACCCTCCTGCTGGGGTGAGGACTTCACACCTCTGGGGCCTGTGTTTTGACAAGTGCCGAAGCCACTGGCTCCTGCTCCCCTGGCCCTTGCCTGCCCCAGCCTGCCAATGTGTAAAGCTGGGAAATGAGGACTTGGGGCAGCTCCACCAGAGCGAAGGTGAGAGTTCAGGCAGGGGTGTTCAGTCGGGGTCCTTGGCCAGGGTGGGGTACTGGCTGGACAGGGCAGCCCTCTCTTAGGCCATAGCCAAGCCTCAGCCATCCTGCTCAGCTCAGCCAGCTTCCTCAGGGCAGGCCTGGGTCCTGGGCACTGCCCCCTCTTGCCTTGATGCCCTCATTTCCCCAGCCAGCCCCTCTGACATAGGAGTGCTAATCAAAGGTGCTATGTAAACACTCCCCTTGCAGCCTCTAATCCCCACCCTGCTGGAGCCAGAGGCCCCAGGAGAAGGAAGCAGCTCTTCTACTGCCAGTCTGCTTAGCATCAGCAGGCACATCTCATGGGAAGCTCCTAATTTGGGTGTCCCCCCAGCCAGGGCAACCCCTGGGGAGACCCTTCCACACCTCCCCACTAGGCCTTGAGGCAAGTCCTTTCAGGGGAAACACTATTTAATAATCTACCCCCCGCAAACACACACACTGCCAGTTTCTGACTCATGGAGACCAATGCTATATAAGACAGCAGAACTGCCCCATAGGGTTTCCAAGGCTGTAAATCTTTACAGAAGCAGACTACTTCATATTTCTCCCATGGAGCAGCTGGTGGGTTTGAACCGCCAAGTTTTGTTTAGCAGCCCAATGCCTTAGCCACCCCATCACCAGTGAACCTTTTATCTAATAACACTTGGCATTTATTAGGCTTCCAACCCAGACAGACTAGGACATCCCTCTGGAGTTGGCCAATGTGAGTTAGAATCCCTGGTTTGTGACATACATACCTGTGTCACTTGGGCATCTTGCTCCCCATCTCATTCTCAGCTTCTGCTTCTGGGCCGAATGAGTAACACCTACTGCACTGGGGTGGTGAGCAGCAAATCGTACTGTGCAGAATGGAAATGTTTCCTGCAGTGCCCCATGTAGCTGCACTATTGCCCCTTGGGACCTGCACTGTGCAGGGGTGTAGCTACATACTGCCCCTGCTTGAAGCCACATTGAAGTGTGGGTCTCACAGTCCTACTATATAAACAGGGAAGTGGAGCCTCAGAGAGGTGGTCCCTGTCCCACAGCCAGTAAGGGCAGAGCCAGGGTCCCATTTGGCTTTGTCTGGGGCCAAAGCCCCAGCTTTTCTCTCCCCACCACCTTCCCTGCCTTTGGTCCTTTCCTTGC